GAGCAGGTTGCAGGTGTGGTTGATTGGAGATTGCTCCCAGCCGTGTAGAGCAGACCAGCAGGCAGGTGGGGGGGAGAGAGACACACACAGTAGAAACAAACACATACAAACACTAACAGGGGTTTTAGGGACGGGCAGTGATAGTCGGTCCGTTCTTCTATATGTCTGTCTTTGGTTTTAAGTGTTATTCGATCCATATGACAATAGAGATACGTATGTGCATAAACAACAAAAACACTTGGGGTATAATGTTCGAACAATGTTATCACCAAACATTTTAAGAATGTTTTTAGAGAACGTTATCCTACGTTTCAGAAGTACATTCTAGGAACCAAGATAAAACTTCTCGATGAAACCATTCCTAGAACAATGAATGGTAACATTCTCTGAATGTTTTTAGAACCAACAATGTCTAGCTGGGAACTCAGACATTCCTACTCAAACATGCAATATCATGAATTACGTGCTTGTTTTTTTTTCTTTTTTTAAAGGAAAATGTGGTGACAACAGATTTTTTTTAAACATCCTTCTCAAACAAATGCAACAAGTTTGTTTTTTAAAGCGCACTACAAATAAATCTGACCTGGGTGTCCGTGGGGTCTTAAAAAGTATTAAAAGTTGATAAATCAATTTAGCGACAATTTAGGCTATTGAAAAGTATTAAAAAGTATAAAACGACATTTTCCAAGGTATTAAGAAGGTCCACAGCAACGACAACATGAAACACCCTCGAGGGGGCCCCATGCATAGCCCGCCGTAAAAATGCTGCTTCTTATTTTTAAGTTTCATTGCCTTGTTCCGCTCTGGGGGGGGAAAGAGTGTGTTGGGGCGCCACTGATGGGGATCAAAGCTGTCCGGTCCCACATGCTAAGTGCTAGCCAGAAAGTCGCGGCGTTTAAGTCCTGACTCTCCCGATGGCCAATCCGTGCCTCCCCTGACTGCACGTCGCTGACACACACGGCTGCAGTGCAGACTCTCTGCACGGAGGAGCCGCGGAGGAGCAGCGGAGTCCGGGTGATGCTGCTCCTCCGAGGAAGAGACACACATTCACTAAGCCAACAAAAACTATATCCGGTCACAGAGATCTGCTATTTTAAAGTAAAGTCAACGCATATCGACCCTAAATATAGTCTATATTAACCTGTTAAACCCCGAGCCTGTTTTTCAGGTTTCAGGCTCGAAACATGATGACAAAATGTCGAAGGGTGATGACGTCAGAGACATCGTCCTATGTGCCGGGGCTTAGCCCCGGACAGCCCCGGCCCAATTTAACCCCTGGAGTGTGAGGGAGCTCCTATGGCATTACACAGCTGAAGCTCACCAAAGTTTAATATATTTCATAGTTCAAAGTTTTGTCAATTGTTTTGTTTATTGGTGAAATTGGTTTCTTTAAAACCTTATTAGAACCTGTAGGTAACGTTTGCCAAAGTTGTGAGAACGTTCCCCGCTAGCTGGGAGGTCTAGTCAAACTTAAATTACTTCCATGCTATCTGAGAATTACGGATAAGGGTGCTGACCTTTATACTTATTATCATTGGCAGTGTTAATGATGGCGAACTTGGATTGAAAGGTTGTTCTTCTCTCTGTAAATGGCTCCTGATAATAGCTGCTCATAGTGAGGGCTATTTTACATTATATTGATAAATGAAAAAATGGGTTGGTACTCAGGGATGATATATGATTCTGGTGTGACCAAGCCTAAAGTCAACCGTTTCTTTAATTTCCGATCAACTGATCAAATGTTCCCAATTTCATCTATAATCTAATCCTGTCACACCACTTAATAGTTCCACTGTGAACATATTTATCAGAAATCTGAGGTATTTCTCCTACTTACATTTGCTATTGACACAAATTAATTATTCGTCAATAAAAACATATATTTCTTGGCGTTGTATCAGACGATTGCAACTACCTTGGGGGACTGTTTTTATTCAGGTCCTGCTGGGCTGCCTAGGAGTGTTTTTTTGTCACTTTGGGATGTGTGTTAATAGTTGACAAAAATGGAAGTGGACCCAGAGATGTCAGTTTTATCTCTGTTGACGGCTACGGTTTGAACAGAAACGTAATGAATGTTATCAATATCACGGAGAAAAATACGGTAATAACAATAACGACTCAAGAAAGTTTGACTTATTGCCAGTTTATATCACCGAATTTAGGATGCAAATCCAACGCTTTACTGTCAGTCAAGTTCCAATCACGAAGAAAAGCAGTCATTATAATGCTTATTTTCAGAAATAATTTGCAGACAAAGCTGGTCCCAGAAATGAATCTGCCATTTTGAAGAATGTCAACAACAAACCAAAATAAATACAGTGAACATCTTGCACCAGAATGTCCTGTGTGTACTCATTATAATGATGCATTGTCATCAAGGGAATCATTTCCACAAGGCTTCTCAACAGCACTTCTTCTTGGATTGATCTCTTGTTCCAAAATGTCAGTTTGTTTGCAACAGTATTTCCCTCCACGCTGCGAGATGACTTGCAAAAAACAAATGAACGGTAAAAAGGCAAACCTGATGCTCCTTGCAGACGACACTCCAGCAGGCTGTTATTCACAGTTCTTTTATTTAGCGTGTGTGTGTGTGTGTGTGTGTGTGTGTGTGTGTGTGTGTGTGTGTGTGTGTGTGTGTGTGTGTGTGTGTGTGTGTGTGTGTGTCCGTGTTGCCCAGCGACAGCCCCAAAACATCACTGCTCTAGAGAAGATCTGCATTGAGGAATGGGCCAAAATACCAGCAACAGTGTGTGAAAACCTTGTGAAGACTTACAGAAAACGTTTGACCTCTG